GCCAAACGATATCAAAATGTAGTTCTGATACACACAGTTCAACCACGACCTTATTTAATCTACTGCTGATTTGATTATTCAAAATCATTTTAATATAACTTACCCAATCTTGTATAATCAGACATCTTCTACTAGACGCTGTTCACATCTTATACAACACATGTAATAAGCGGCCAGATAAAAGGCCCCAAGATGGCATTAGTTTAAAAACGCTTACAAGAGAGAGAAGGCAACCAGTCCGCAACAACCTCCGCCTTTTATCGACTGCTTTTGAATGAATAACGGAATTAACTGTCATAGTTAGAATAACCTCATAGCTGAAAGTGCGGAACATGTTCACCACCAGCATCTTGCAGCTTTAACCTTGGACCTTTTGATCCGTAGTCACAACGTTAATCACTAAGCCATGCACGGCTCTAGTAAGTTGAACATAATAGTAGAAAAAACGCATTTTTTATCAAATGCAAGTTTAATCTCCAAAAGGCTAATGTTATGAAATAATTAATTTTTATGCACGTATGTATACACATGAATGAAAACAGCCAGCATTAACGAATTCTTGCACGAAAAAGAAATATAGGAGTATTAAGAACGATATGACATACATTATTAAAACACGTAAATATAGGAGTATTAAGAACGATATGACATACATTATTAAAAACACGTAAATATAGGAATATTAAGAACGATATGACATACATTATTAAAAACACGTAAATATAGGAGTATTAAGAACGATATGACATACATTATTAAAAATATATAGGAGTATTAAGAACGATATGACATACATTATTAAAAACACGTAAATATAGGAGTATTAAGAACGATATGACATACATTATTAAAAACACGTAAATATATAAGTATTAAGAACGATATGACATACATTATTAAAAGTATATATAGGAGTATTAAGAACGATATGACATACATTATTAAAAACACGTAAATATATAAGTATTAAGAACGATATAACATACATTATTAAAAGCATATATAGGAGTATTAAGAACGATTAAGCCTAGGAGTTGGTGACGACTAGCTGCTTTCCCTTTAGTCTAACACTGCTAAATTAGGAACAGCTAGTGTAGATAGCCCTCGTGTAGCTTTATTCAAAATTCAAAACAAACAAACAAACCCTCTTGACCTGTTGTAAGACTACAGTATCCTTCCACTAGTCATATATATATATATATATATATATATTAGTTTTGTTTCTTTATTGTTATTTCTTTAAGTAAAGCCAAATTAGGCTGTCTGCTGTGTTCATCTGAGGAATCGAACCCCGAATTTCAGCGTTGTACGTCCCTTACCACTGACCCACCAAGGGACAGTTAGAGTAGAACATGTAGGAAACACGTTTTCATTTTTTCTAATCATGTAACCAGGGGCGGCACCATCCTCTTCCTCATGAGGAGGAGGAGGTGAGCTTGACAAACAATTCAAAGGGTTGAACTCTACACCTTACGGGCAGTATTTAGAAAGTGAGCCAGTTTGTGCGGGAACTGCAGAGAAAGCTAAAGCATATTTTGAGGGTATCTTCAGCCCCAACAAACTTTTCCCCCCTATACCACCGCCTTATATTATAACATTCATTAATTTTTACATATCGACAAAAGATCTCATCTCATTACTTACGTAGTTCAGCTTTAAAGGATTATGTAAATTAATAACATTCCACGTGCAAATGTCAATTCTGCGTAACAATAAATGATAAAAAAAGAAAAGAAACATATATAACAAATACACGAGGATTGTATTTTCTCCGAGTCTTATATTCTTTTCAGTACAATATTCAAACTAGAATACTAAGCCTTGTTTCATTTTTTGTTTAGTCATATCGAAATCAGCACTAGAGGTTCTTAAGCCTGATTCAACATAAAGTTAAAATTAGCTTCTGCTCACACGCTGTTATCACTAAAATCGTTACGCGAACGAGACATTGAATTACTTATCGTTGATCTTCTGCGATATAAATAAATTGTCACAGGTGAGATTGTCATACTGGGATTGAGATGCTTTTCAAATTACGGTACTTCAGGACATACAACTCGTGGGGGGCGGGGGCATATACATGTTAAGAAATTAATATAATTATCTTTTTTTTTTATTCTTGTTTCGTGAAAAAGAGTCTCTAATTAACTTTTTAAATAGGATAGCTGGGCGTGAACGAGCGGTTAACGTACTTGGACCATGAATATGAGGATTCGAGGTTCCCATCTCGTTACCGCAAAAACGCGCTCTTCGCTTTGGAATCGTGCATGTGTTATAAGTGTGATTGTCAAAACGAAATACTGGGGCAGCCTGGCGGTGGGTGCTGTTGACTAGTTGTCTTTTCTTAACCTATCACTTCGTAATTAGGTGTGGTAACGTTAGATGAGCGAAGAACGTTTTTCTGACGACGTTACAACAAATTTAGAAGAACGAAGACATCGTTCTGATGACGTCATCATCAAATATTGTTGTAAAATGTATGCAATAAATGAACACAATTGTAACTTTGTTAGTTATGAAAATCATAATTAAAGTCTGAGAAAAAAATTTTTTTACACCCATTTCTATGAACTGTTAATGTCGTATTATTGCAACAATCTTACTGATCCCTTAACAATGTCTGACGAGTTTTGGACGTTTCGTTACGGACAGCTTGTGATATAGATTTTTTGTTACCGTCACATCTACAGGCGTAAGCAAGGGGGCCGCCCCCCCTGAAAATATAGCCATATTTATCACATATTATTTTTCAGCTTTTATGTATATAATAAACTCGTTTTGTATCATTTAATATAAAAAATACAACTTCTATAAACACTATTTGATTTGATTTGATTTGTTTTAATGACCATATTATTAAAAATTTAGAGCAATTTCAGCTTTTTAATTCATTGCCCCCCCCTTAAAATTTTCTGCCTCCCCTAAGTGGAAAATCTGGGCACGTCACTGGTCACATAGTTACGAAATGTTTCGTTTGCAACTG